TCTGGCTTTTAAATGTACCGGAAAAAATGCCAATAGTGAACACCAAACATTAAATTTAATCACTGCACAATTTTACTCTGCAGAACAACTTTATCAAAAAAAAAAAAAAAAAAAAAAAAAAAAATCTGAAAGCTTTTCAAATTTTTAATTACGTCCAAAGGGGCGTTTTTACACAGTTTGTGCGTTACCTTTACTCATTAAATATCATGTTTTTCGCACTTAAACCATACAGTTCAGTTCATCAGCAATATCGCAAAATACTTTTAAATTGAGCATATCTTTGGAATTTCCGGTACGCAGTCTCAGGCGCTGGAGTTAAAAATGTTTTTTTCTGTACAAAATATGAAATCGATAATAAAACAAATTCCAAATTTCAAATTTGGGCTTTAAGATGCCCATATTCGCAGGAGTACATCATTCAAAATTCGATGTCTTTAGGTACCGTTGTTTTCACAAATCGAGAAACACACATACATTGATACATACATACACACATACATACATTGATACACATACACACATTGATACACACATACATAATCTGCATCAATGTATGATGCAGATTCTTCATTATTTAATTTCTTCAAATATAATACAGGGCGATAATATTTGGTGGCAGCAGTTTGAAAAGTGAAACGGAGATTCAGAGTGATTCGACGCAAAATCGCAAAATGAAAACAATAGTCCTTCAGGGAAAAAGCCCCTTTGGACTGAAAAAAACACAAATTTCAATAAAAATTTATTATATATAAAAAACATTACAATGAAATAAGCAGCATCCCTTAATACAAACATTAATTATCCTAATAAATAAATTAACCAACTTCCTGTTGCAAAATCTTAAGAATTTAAATGGTATAAAGGAAGCTAAAAACTTTGTTTCCTAAAACATATCATGCAAAACGTTTTCAATATCTTAAAAATTATGTTAGAAACAAAATCTGAAATGTTTCAGATTTTAAATTACGTCCAAAGACGCGTTTTTTTTAACGTTTTGTGTGTTACCTTTATTTATTAAATATCATTTTCTTTGCACTTAAACCATAAAATTTAGTTCAATAGCAATGTCGCAAAATAATTTAAAAATGAGCCTATCTTTAGAATTTCCGATACACAGTTCCGCGCAATGGAGACAGAAAGGCTTTTTTCCTCGTAGAGTGTTACCATTGCTCGCTTTGAAATCCTTAGTTTGTTAATCAAAAATTCATTAAAGTTTTACAAAATATGAAATCGATAATAAACAAATTCCAAATTTCAAATTTGGTTTTCCACACGCCCATATTCGTAGGAGGATTACATCATTCAAAATTCGATGGCTCTATGTACCGTTGTTTTAGCACAGTGCGAGAAATATACACACATTTATGCAGAATTTTCATTACTTAATTTCTTTAAATATAATGCAGGACTCTAACATTTGGTGGCAACAGTTTGAAAAATGAAACGGACATTTGTATTGATTGGACGCAAAATCGCAAAACGAAAACAATAGTCCTTCATGGGAAAGGCCCGTTTGGACTAAAAAGAATGAAATAAGCAATAAATAACACCAAAGAAACACGCAAAATTATTCTGAAAAGGAAAGTTATAATTAATCATATTTTAAATAATAATAGAGAATAAACAGATAATTTACCAATCAGTTTTAAGAAAGTATTTACTTTCTTTTGAAAAAACAAATAGAAAATAAGATCACACAGGTTACCAACTTTAAGGAGAGATAGAGTACACCTAGAGGGAAAATCACATTGCAATGCATGGTCGGAAACTCTTTCCTGAAGCGGCAGTGACATCACAAAACACAGGAAAGGATACCACCTGGGAGGTTTGCCTAACCTATAATTCTACTCTGGCTTGTTTCTCTAACAATCGCATATATTTTCGCAGTGTAAATATAGCTTTTATTTGGACCACGTTTATCGATTATCAAACATAATTTTGCTCTCATTAACTGAAGGTTGTGGAATGGCATCTAAGCATTATATGCCGTATTTTCAATGTACTTTTTTATTTTTTTTTAATGTAAAAGTTTACCTACGATAACCAAATAGCGGAATCATAAATTTGAAACCTATAACTGTATTAAGCTTAGATACGGACTCCTTTTTACCGCGTATTTTGTTACCTTGAACCCTCACTTATGGTTAATTGATGAAATAATCACAAATAGTGCGTCTGATTACGCTTTGTCGGTTGAATATGAAAATGTTTTCTAAATATATTTATGTGTGCTAGTTTATCCTTTATTAATATCCTTATAATTAATCCTGATTATATGTTTAAAGCTGATATGTGGAATTTATAGATAGGGTGGATTAACTATTTGAATTCAGTAACATTCGTATCTGTTTGTTCCTCATATTTTTCAACTTAGAATAATTCTATTGCACCAAGTCCTTTAGCGTATAATGCAGGTCCGGCTGTAGCATGTTTGGTGCTCTAAACGATCACTACTGTTGACGGCCATAGTTTAAAGCGAAATAAATCTTTATTTAGTAGTGGCTTGAATGAACTTACGCAGATTTCGTTTCCTAAAATATTTTTAACAGGCATTTTAGGAACGGGAAATAATTGCTCATATAACATGTAAATCAAGAAAAGGAGAATCAAATTTCATTATTTTAAATGACATAATAATACATATGATACGTATTCTATAAACGATGAATCCAGTTTTCATAAAAATGGGTTTTCTATTCTTTACTTTTAGGTTTTTTTCAGAAATATAATTTTCCTCTTTAATTTTTTCTTTTATTATTATGCATGATCTCACTACTTTCGCAATTATACAGCTTTAATAATGCGTACATTTTTCTCCTCCGGCGAATTTTTGGTCCGTAATTTAGAAGAGCATAAAAGATTTTTACATCTCAATCCAATTAGAAGAGCTTATTTCAAGAACGATACTCTTCAGTTTATTTATCCTTTACATTCACTAATCATATTACTTGAATGTATGTAGTAGGCGCTATTAAAATTGTCGAGAGCATTTTCTGCAGCTTTGCGATTTTTTACAAGCCAATTAGCATTCCATCAATTATCTTCAAAATAATCACCGTGAAAAATAAGATCACAAAAGTAATATGATGCAATTAAATACATAGTTTCTTTTGATTTTCTCTCCTCTTTTTTTTGAAAATATTTTTATAGTAATATGATACGAAATAGGCTTTTTGAAGAACTATTGTGAATAATTTGAGTTACTAGATAGCAGATATTTTTCTGTTTAATGAGTTACTAATCTGCTATCTAGTAACTCATTAAACTATTTGGCTATCGTAGGTAACATAAAATTATTTGGCTATCGTAGGTAAACCATGTATTAATCTCATCATTTTACTTACTGATCGGTAATTAAGGAAGTATTTTCGAAATGGATGTCCAACGAGAGCTAGTATCTTAAAAATATACTAAGCATATTTGCTTAATTAGAATACATATTGTATATACATACATTAGATGAGTCATAGGAACTCAATATAATCAGATAGCGTTCTAAAAATAGATTAAATGAGCATTTCGCATGCGTTTGCAGCGTTATAACATGCAGGGTAACTTAAAGCAGTCACATTCTCTTAAAGTTTCTGTGTTCAATGGGAATTTTTTTTAAAAAGGATTTCCGTTCTTTACTTTTTATTGAGAATAAGTGCCAGTTTTTCATTGTAAAAGGAACAATATATTTTTGACTTTAAATTCGTTTCTTTAATAAAATGCGATGAATAAAAATTAGAATTATTAAATTAGGCCTTTTTCATGTATATTACAGCAAATGATCCAAACCTAATTTTGCGGATTTTCTAATTGTTTGGATTGAGTTCGTAGCATACAAACAATTCCAGAAAACAGAAACCCTATTACAATTCTAAATTTCTTAAATATAATATTTGACCAGAGTCCATAAAATTAAATGCTTCAAGAGTAAATTTTCTGATATTGAGGTCCCTAAAGGATGTTAATTCTAATTTTGAAACAGCGTTAAAAAATCTTAAAAAGCGTTAAGATATTTTTTCTGTGTGCTCTGGTGGTGCTAAAGTCAGCATATTTATCCAGTAATTCATCCTGGGTTCATGTCCTGGCAAAGGCATAGTTAAAATTATACGATTCCTAATTCACAGATTCCGCTCTTCTGCATAAATAATACTCATATTAAAGCATAAATTAACTAAAATCGTAATTAAAACTCTTCGTTAGACTTCACATGATCGACTACAAAACAGGATTGCAAGAAGCTTAAAGCATTCCTTTTACGAGAATTGGCTTAATGCAAAGTTTAGCAAATCAGTTTTGTAACTCGAAAATTCACAAATCATCTCTTCTTTTTGTTTCCCTAGTAGCTTATCTATAGAATCATTTAACCTGATTTAACATTTTCGAAATGGATTTCGCCTAAATGCCGTGTGGACGAGCATCGGATAGTCATCTGACTACCCAACATTTGTGCTTCTGTTTTCCTGTTTTGCCTGCGAAGACGTTTCTTCTGTCTTTTGTTAGTGTCAGGGCATTAATACTTTTGATGCGTTTTATACTTTAATGTGCTTTGTACTATTTTATCTATTTGCTTATGGATATGGACAATTATCATTGCATTCCGACCGAGGGAAGAAACTGAGAAATAGTAACTCATAGCAAAAGATCTGCTTTAAATGTAATCATTTCAATTAATTATGCATTTGATAACTTTCTAGCAGCTGAAGTTTCATGACAAGGATATTTTTTCGAACAAACATTTTAAACCTGATTGTCTTAAATATACAGGAAGATCAGATTTTGATGCAAAAAATTTAGGGACCAGCCAAATGAGAATAATGATTAGAGTACAACTCTGTCCCTACGAATGTGAATCCGAATAAAAAATGGAACAAGAATTAATTAAATACAACATTAAGTATTAGTCAAAATACTATGTATAGTCAAATATCTATAAATCGTCAAACAGCCACTATATAGTCAAAAATAAAGGGCTTCAAATCGCTTTAAATTTCATTCATTGCAAAACTTACCCTGGATCATAGTGCAAAGCAATCGCTCGGGGACTATCCAGATTACTCCAGATTAAAACTTTTCGTGACTGACCATCCAATTCTGACACTTCAATACACTTGCGTGGATCATCTGTCCAATAGAGTTTTCTACCAACAGAATCCACGGCCAGAAAATCTACTGATCCTAGACCCTTGACTATCACGTTTTCAACACGTGTACCATCCAGCTCAGAACGCTGAATTTTTTCCCGTCCAGTGTCAGACCAATAGATTTTCCCTGAAAGTACAATATTCAATACTATAATAAAATGATATTGATTGTTGCGCATACATATTTTTTGAGACACTAAAATTTGAATATGATAAAAAATATTGTAGTAACAATATTTTTATATTAAGCATTTTTATCATTGCATGGTATTGTTGTTGAATTACTTTTGCCAATTCTATTCACTCGAGCGTGACTGGTATACTATTGTTTGGTTGTGCCATGGGCCTTTCCTCACTTTGACAGATTATTGTTAACTGCAGAAAACTTTCGTGTTTTTTCCGTCTCATAAGAATAAACTCCCCCCCCCCCTTTGCTTCCTTATGATCATATTCAAGAAAGATATGCAGTCCCTCAGTGGTAATATAATTCTAAGAAATATGTCCCCTTGCTCGTTCCTATGCTTCTTATTGTGGTTTATGCTGTAGTTCGTGATACGGTATGTTTTTCTGTCAAAAGACGCAATCGTGATAGAAGACGTTCTTTATGTCAGCTTTGTCGTGGAGAAAATCAAATCACAGTAATGAAGAGGAAAATAAGATCATATAAAATTATCAGAAATAAGCATAAATTTGTTTTACTTATGCTAGCATTAAATACGCTTTTTATTTTATAACTTACGACCACAACAGAATAAGTCATATACAGTTCTTAATTACATAATGAAAGGTTCACATAATGAACGTCTGGCATTTAAGACCGCATGCAAATGCCGTCGCATAATAAAAAGAGTTCGAATTCGATTTACTTCTTGTTTTAACGGTAAGCAAATGCAAAAAATGACCTGCTCGTGAACAAAGCTTACGAACAAAGGAAGGCACAAATAAGCAATTTTCTTAACACACTACTTCTGATGATGTTTAAGCTTTTTTTCGCTAGGAACTTAAGGAAGTCCACACGGAAGTTTTCTTTGGTGGAAGAATGGTCCTCAACTATTGCAACTACCAAGAACCTTCTAGATAAATTGAAGTTAGACTGATCAACTATAAAGGAAAATACTTAAGCTAAAATTTATTTAATTAAAAGGAAGGCGAAATCCAAGTCACAGACAATCAACAGCATGAGATGAAGTATGGCTCATCCGTTCAATAACAATTCCGTACGCTACTTTTAGACTACCTCAAAAAGAGAAAGAGTACTTCCGACAACTTCTTCCTAGCGTTCTGAAAAATCCAACAGCAGATAGGTAAGAAGATCAAGAACGGCTGTCGTCTAGTCTTCCACCTCTAGTTTCCACCAGACTTCCATTCTTCCAGAGAAGGACTTCAGTGGAAGTCTGGGAAGATTCACACTAAATTGTACTAAAAAATTGTAAGACTACATAAGTACCCAGATATGTAAATATTTCTGTAAGTCATAAATTAATCAGTTTCTGACATCGTTTGATTTCTAACATCGTTTAACACTGATTAGTTTTAGAAATGGTATAAATATTTTCCATGAAAATTGTAGAAAATAGGTTCTACAGAGTGTTTCAGCAAATCGGTTACAAACTTTTCAGGAGAGATAGAGTACACGTAGACGATGGAAAAACACATAGCAGTGCATGGTGGAAACGCTTTTCTGGCGCAGTAGTGACGACACAAAACACAAGAAAGGAAGGACGTGAACGGGGTGAGAATATATGTTTATTAAGCTAAGGGCAGAGGAAACCAAGAAATAAGAAATAAAACAGACGATCATCATCAAAGAAGGTGTTCGAAACATATCCTCAACATGGGATCAGCAGGTGTGGTACGGTGCATTAGCCAGCAAGATTGCCAAATCTCACTTTCATTTCTTCCTCTGGGGGTACATAAAGATATTACTGCACAAAACCCCTGTTAGAAGAGCTGCACGCATCATGGAAACTGCTGGAGAAGTCCGAGCATGTATGGTATTTTCCAGAAAGTCAGATCATCCATGTGTCGGAGATGTGAGGCCTGCATTAGGGCCCAGGATCGTAATTTCGAACATCATCTTTGGATGATGATCATTGTCTATTTTGGTTCTTATTTCTTGATTTCTGCGTTACTAAGCATAATAAACATGTTTTCTTACCCTGTTTTACGTTCTTCCTTTCACCGTGCCAGGAAAGCCTCGACTACATTGTCTAGGTGTACTCTGCCTCTACTGAAAGTTTGTGAACCGATTTACTGAAACAAATTATATGTAATGAACGTCTTCGCGGAATAGATTAAGTTCGTTGTACAAAGTAGATCTGTGTTTTCTTAATTCATTCTAAAAAATTAACATTTCTCTTACCGCCTTTTGTATCCACATCCAGTGCAATAACGTTGTTGAGATTATTGATCGGAAGGACAACATCAGCTGTGTAAGGAACGTCTAAAGAAACTTTGCGAATATCAGTCCGTTTTGCGACAATCAGAAAATTATTCATACCTAAATGCAAAAAATTTCAAAATATATGATTAATTACTTGAATATTGAATAAAGTAATGAATGAAATTTAAACTAAGTAACTCAAAAATGCACTATTTTGTAATGCTAACTAAAAGTTAATTTTTTATAATTTAGTGGTTATAAGATGTCTAATTCTTGTTTTTATTATTTTTTTAGTGTTACTAACAGTAAAAAATAAAATTGAATCTAGATTGCTTAAAACATAAAAAATAGCATAAAACATGAAAAAATTTATAAAAAAATAATTAAATGTCAAAATCTTATTTTTTTCCGATTTGCTTTTAAAGCAACACTCAATTTTGTATAGGCAAAGTCTTTAAAATGTAAATGAAAAAAATCATTAAAAAACAGTTTTCTTTTTTTTTACTTATGACAGGGATTAAAAGAAAAATGTGAATTTCTGCAGTTATTGGTGGGGAAAAAATGTTAAATATCTTCAAAATAGCTGAATAGAGCTTCAATGTTTTAATTTCCATACATAATGAAGTCTGCATTTCCACAACTTGACGCGAGGTTCATCGAAACAAAAATTCTTTAATGGTGTCGGTTTTTTATATTGTCTTGTAATTAAGCTCGGTTCCTTTCCAAGATTTAATCATAGAGTTTAAAAATAACTTTTTGTCGTTAGCGTATTAAAATTGTTTCAGATGTAAGCTCTTTCGAGGTTGTTTTCTTTGTGCAATTTTTTGCATTTTAACGTCTCCGAGTGTCATTGAGGATATGAAGTGTTAAGCATGAACATTAAGAATAGTCCTATTTTGTTAAAATTTATATTGAATAAAGAGTGGGAAAAATAAACTAAATTAAAAACAGCAAGAGTATATATATGTTTCGAAGGTTCGAGAGCTTTTAAAATAGTAGGTTAGGATCTATCAAACCTATTATTATATTAATTTTCTTTGCGAAATTAAAAATTAAAGGAATGGATCATTGTATTATGTTTTGAGCTTTTGTTATTAAAATTTATCTTCTCGATGAGATGTGACTAGAAAAAGAGCTGACAAAAAACGAAGTTAAGACATAAAAATGCTTTGCATCAATTCCTAAATTTAATTTGAAAAAAAAAAAAAAAAGAATGAGCTCTAGGAATTAAAGAGGCACTCTTGTTTTCGCTTGGCAGTTTGAATTAACATATCTGCATTTTGTTTTCAGTTTTTAAATCTGACACAAAATGACGTGCATTCCATTCAAGTAAATGCATTTTAATTGTACTTAGATGTATTAAGAAACTGATCGCTCTACATATTTTTAGTAACATGAGTATTTTATGCTACTAACACTTTATTTATAAATTGAAATTGCTTAGTGTAATATAAACAGTAATTGTTTTTATACTTAACTGGAGCAGAAACACACCACTGTGAAAATCAGGTAAATAACAGTCTTAGACTTGCTCAAATTTGAGCAAACCTTTACCGTTTTTGAAAGCAGTATGCCTAAGACACTCTTCTTTAGTAGTAACTAAATACAAAAATGCAAATGTGGGAGATACAACACAGTTTTATAGGAAAATCAATAGACAGAACAGAGGCGTCGAGAGTTTGTCGATCTGTCGAGAAAACTGTAATCAAATCTGACAAAGATGAAATATTCGAATTTTGATAATTCCAACTCATTCGAAATTTTAATAGCTTAGCTTTTATACGATTCATTATTGTTTCACTTAACAGTTGGTGCTATATACGTTCGTTTTTGCACCGCCTATATATTTTTCTATACATTTATTAGCAAGAGCTTTCCTTTTTTTTCACCCCCGGTTTCCTTCCTTTTCTCTTATCCTCCTTCCAAAAAGCTTCCAAAAAATTTTACATCATTCTAAGTTTACTTTTTTCCCTAATTTTTCATTTTCAGGTTTTTGAATGTTTGTGTTTCTGATAACCCAGAAAATTCTAGAATACACTGTTTCGGCAATTTTGCCACAATCCCGCACGTTTTAAAACAAAACGTCAATTTTTTCAAATGTATTGCTTTCTTTTCGTTTATTTCTTTTATTATTCTGGATTTCATGTGATTGTATTTTACCACGGTTAATTAAGGGGAAATATGCATATGAAAAGTTTAATTTCAAATGAGATGTATCTTAAAAATATCAAAGATGATTTTATTTGTTTATGTGGAAAAATTAGACAGGAAAAAATGTGGGACTCAAAATGTGAGTCAATTCGCCATGGATCATGTTTTTGTAACAGTAAGCTGAACGAGGATGAAGCATTATTCTAAACGTATGAGGTGGTCAGAGGGACAAAACCTGGGGCTATTCAGGAGAAGTATTATTTAGCTTCGAATTATTAACGGAACTATTTTAGATTATATAGAGTTGCTATCAAAGAAAATAAGTGGTATTGGAAAGACAAATGAAAAATAAATTTGAGAAGTGAATAGACAGTAAGACTTGCAGTTGAGGGGTAGTGGTGTTTGGGGATGGATGAAAGGGAATCGGACAAGCTACTATTTTGTGTAGCATTTATCATAAGAGAACACATAATTGAAGAGCGGATTAAGACATGACATACAGTTTATTCAGATAGCTTTAAATGCTACTATATTTTAAGCAGGGAAGGTTTCCACATTTAAAGGTTAACTGCAGCATGAATTTGCAAAAAGGCAAATGCAATAGAGAGAACATGGATGCATATAAAAAGCTTATTTAGAGGTTCGTCATAGCATCAATTTGCAAACTGACAAATGGAATAGAAAGAACATGGAGGCATAGAAAAAGCTTCTTGCCAACATACAGATGGCAGAGAGATTTTAAATTCTATTTTGCTTTTTCCATCTTCGTTAAATCTTGTAAGGAGCAGAATGTTGACCGCTTTGAAATTTTCTAGAAATTATAAGGGACGTAAACTAGGAAGAATCCTTACCTTTCAAGGGACCGGGAACGACACGTTATTTCTCCTTCTTGGTCAATTGAAGATGCACGAATAAGCGCCGTCTGTGGTGCTAACGCCTATATAAAATTACCTATTTGCATACCGACTTCTTATTATTTAAGCATGTCATTTCTTTATTATATAATACGCTTTTTAAAAAAAGGATTGCTTGACCTCTGAACTATTCATTAGAAATGACTTGCGATGGAGGGCAAATTTTATGCACGCAGACTCAAATTTTTTTGGGCTTGAATGGTTTGAATTTCATTCCTCTTGCGAACATTGCAAACATGTAATGGCAAGGCCAAATGAACAAATTTGAAAGTTTCGCATAAATATACAGATATAAACGTTACATTGAAAAATACAGCAATAACAGTTAATTTATGTGATATTCATAAAAACAAATCATGTTCTTAAAACAAGTAATGTAAAAAGCAATATTCATAAAAGTGACTTATCGAGAATAAATTAAGTTGCATCAAGCAACAGTGCATATGTTATGGATAAGTTGTTACGTCATGCTTATCATAACTATTACTAAATCGCGCGTCTTGGGAGCAATTTCACGGTCGACGTGATAATACTTAATTAACGAAATATACTTCTGGATTTACATGTCTTACATCATAGAATATACTTTTACTGTGTACCGGCATCCAGCCTGACCTTCGCGCGGGAAGGGGAAGGGACATCTTACTAAAAGATATATAAAGCATATAAAAAGCACCAGAAGCCATGGAATTTAAAGGAAAAGTCATGAGGGTGATGGCATGTGATTTACAAGTCATGTGCTCGATGAAGGGAAAAAACAGCAAAAAAGAATCATTTTGAATGTACTCGGAAACAAAGACGAGCGAGAGATCGAGATAAAAATCTTCCATCTATTTTCTCAAAATAAAAAAAAAAAATTGAACATTTAAAAAATTATGTATAGTTTATCAAAATTTTCTTTTCTAAACTTTCATACAAAGTATTACAATCTATATACTTAGCCTACAAAATATAAACTTAAATTTGTATAATCCTCTACAAAACTATTAAGGAAGAGAGAGCTTTTTTGACTTACCATTAGCGCAAGTCTTTTCGTCACTTTGTAACAGAATACCAGTAGGACATTTACAAGAGTATCCTTTAGGTTTCGGAGCCATTAAACACAGGTGGCTACATCCTCCATTATTGATTTTGCACTCACTGTTAACTGGAAAGAAAAACAGTTATGAAAATTATTAACCAAAACATATTTTTATTTAATTTTGGAAACTTAGATAATTGCTAATTGCAGCGGTACATGAGACATTTTAGAAGTATATACTATTCCTAAAAAATGCACTTTTGCTGTTATAAAGAGCCAGAATGCAGAACACAAACCATAGAAGTGTTTTCCCCCTCTTATCAATGTGCATTCCGCTTTGCGTTCTTGTGTGTGAAGGTTCTCTCAGAATTATATCTGAGAATTTGGAATCTCATACGTCTCACAGAGATTCTTCATTGATGAATATGAATATTTTACTCCCCGTGGTACATGATCCCGTTCCTTCAACATTTTCAACTGTCCCTAATCCTGATAAATTTGCTAGACTTAAGGCTCAAATCGAGTAGTTATAAAAGACTGAATTTAGAAGCCGTCATTTCTATTGGAAGAAAGGCTCCCTTCTTCGGCTGCCACTGATTCCCGGCTCATTGATGACCTGGTTCAGAAGCTCGCCTATGTTCGGAAGCAGATCAAAGAACTTAAAGGTAAGTGTTTTCTACCTTGCAGTTCAGGCCTTCTTAGCAATAGTAAGTTGTATTTGTAAAGTTACTAAACTTAAAGTAGACTAAAGCGGATATTCTAAAAATTCCCCTCACTACCAGTTACAAATTTAATGTTTTATAGAACCTAAGTGTGTTGTTAATCAAAACTTAAACCAAGAAGAACAAATCATGTAATCTCAACTGACATCTAATATTATTACGTTTATTCCACCCAAATGGCCCAGCCCCCTAAAGCATTCGAATTTTCTACAAAGACTGGCTCAAGATACGATGGTTTATAGGCAAACTCAAGAACTCAGCGGAGAGTACCTTAAAATCTTACCCTGCTCTAAGAATGATCATAGGACGCTAAGTACATTCTTCAATGAGAGCTGCTTTGAACACTATGTTATCAACGTTAAATATGCGTAATTAATATATATAAGTAATTAGAGGTCTCTTCCCTGCAAAGGCTGAACAACATAGTCAATGTTTAAGATACAAAAACACGCCGAACAAATTTAGAAGTCAAACAACAAAAATCAGCGTTATATTTTCATATTTTCACAGGACTAGTTTCGATGGTTTTACCGAACTATCATCCTCAGCTGCAAAATGAAAATATAACGTTCAGTAAAGGCATCAAACTTAAAATAAATTTGTTATGCAAAATAAGGGAAACCCTACAATGCATATAAATTTCTGCAGTTATATTTTCCAATCGAATTAAAGGAAGATCTGTGCGGCCAATTAAAGAGATTCTTCCTGAAATACAGATGTTATCTCTTTGAAAGGTTCTCTTATAATGAAAGGTGGCTGATGATAGATTCTAGGTTCTCAGCACATCAAGCAATGCCCGCTATAACTCTGAAAAATAAATCTGGTCTTATTCGCGAAAAATACATTTCTGTTTGATCTAGATACTGCTGAGGTGTAATCGCGATTTTGCAAATATTATCTTAACGAGAAAAGAGAGGAACACAAATATAACTGGTCATATTGCATAAATTTGTTTATTAGAAGAATAATCATTAACAAAAACTAATTAATTTACAAATCTGTCAAAGTGATGATGATTCAAACCTTCTCTTTCTCACTAACATGCAGTCTACATGGCACTTATGCGTAATTTGTAACTCATAACAGTTTTAGTTAAATAAATTTAGTATTTCTTCACAATGTTATATTCCGGATTTCACTGACGCTCCGAAAATACAAATTATATATTCATAAAATGAATTTTTTTTAATACTGTCATATTTGATGAGGCAAATTTAATCTTATCGAATCAAAATATCATTATCTCTATTGTATATTTCGTGCGATAAAGAGTTCTCATGTACCCGATGAATGAACTCAAGAATAAATACTTTTCAGTATCGTTGTTCCACTTTATATCTCAGACACTCGGAATAATAAATGGACTCTTTTCTTCCGCTTTGCCTTGCACTATTAAACCCAGCATTTATTCTATAGTGAGCAAAACGCCGTTTTGCAACGCAAAGTGTTTTTCACTCAACTATCACAACACGCACCTGCACTTTTGATATCGAGTATAAGGGTAGGGGAGAGACGGATGTGAGAAATGCGGGGGAGGGGAGAAAAAAGCAAAATATGAAGAAAACAGAAGCACAAAAGACTGAGAAAGCAGTTGCCAAGGCTATTAATACAGCGTGACTTTTGGCAATGTATGAACATCGGAGTTAAAAAGAATGCTAAGCGATAATCAATATCAATAGAAGTATCGATTACAAATAATCCATTTAGTGGAAGAAAGACATAGAAAGTGCCGTTGGTGGCGCCATTAAAGTGCTTTTGGAAGACCCAGATAATGAAATGCACTGCGAGTAAAAGTGACATAAGATCATTTTTTAATTTCAACGCAACAATTAGGGGAAAAAAGATTTTAGATCATTACAAACAAATTACTAGACCCTATCAAAGGGAACGAAGGCCTTTTAATAAAATCAAAGTTCACACAAGCGAAAGGACAATTCGTTTGATTACTATCTAAAAATTATTGTAATTTTTCAATTTATATTATAAGATTCAGAATTTAAAAAATAAAAAAGAAAAAACTGACGTTGTTTATGGATATGACTGTATTATGACAAAGCAGGCGAGGTCTAAGGAAAAGGATGGCTTCATGAAAAACTTTTTAAAGTCAGCTTTCTCGTACGCACGTTACTCACTGTAAAATTCAAGAATATCACATATAGCTAGGGCATTCTTTTGGATGTGAATCCGAGCCGCATTGCTAGTACAGAAGGATTTTAGCATTGTTTTACTGGTGGGGTGTTGTTTAAGAATTTATCGTAATAAAGAAATAAACCAGAAAAAAGGTATCTATATTTTTTTTAAATTCGAGTTCATGTTTCATTTATTTCGATTTATTTATTCAGTTTTCTTTGAAATTTATTCCTGTATATCACATATTATTTCAAAGTATTACATCCTTTAAAAAATGATCGGGAACAGAATTTTTGTTCGGTAACTATAAACCACATTTGGTATAAAATACAATATAAAAACGTTGCAGATTCTTTACTAGGAAAAACCGTGTATTTAATATATGGCATTAGGAAATCCTTTTTTAAATTTTATTAAATCTGTAAATGTTTATACAAATTAACGGCTAGGTATGTGATAAATTATATCAAGCTGCATTTCATTGAAATAATACAAGCAGAAAGGTAGGTATACCGTTATCATTTCTTAATTTGTTGTCCCTGATGTGCAAATAGTCTTATATGTCTTCTTATTTGCACGTATACAAATATATTTGTATACGTGCCCCGCCTTTGGCATTACACGGATTAGCCCCAACTAAAAACCCCTATATTAGGCAAGGGGAGGGTCTGCTAGTCAAAAGTTCCTCGAGAGGAAGGAAGTTCACCTATGCTACCACCCCGGGCCCCCAATCCGAGTTCGCAGATTTGAAAGATCACACACCACAGCTACCTCCTGGGCCCGCGAGGTTACCACTTCCGGTTCTCAGGTCTCACCGGGGCCGAGATCTACGAAGCTTGGAGATCTGACTAGTCGCCAAAGATCCCCAGCCAGTACTACGCGGGCAGTCCCCAGGCTGATTGTTTGACATGGAATACCTGTGATGACCACAGAATGTCTTTGCCAGCGCACCGCAACCAATACCGTGGTTTTTATACGGAATTCGGGTCAAGAGGCGAAGCTACGCCCGCTGCCAATACCATTAGCCCAGTGGCCTATAGCCTTTCCTCCCTTGGTCCAACAGTACAAACGGTTTTCCCTCTGGGTTCTGGAACCTCCAAGCTCAAAATGCTTTTCCCTCAGAGTGCCCTGACATTATATGAATCAAGCCAGTGCTGCACCCCGGGGAGGTAGCCTCTTTGTTATTAGAACTACTATCATAATTTGAAATATAAATTAAGATTCGCTCGTAACGCTGGTAACAGAACTCAGAATTAGCAGTTTGTCAGTCAGCAGTATTAAAGATATTTTCAGAAAGAATGCAATATTTCGGATAATTAATTTATAATCGGATAAAAGATTGTCACACTCGTTTATTTGACTACGGTTATTTATTTATTGGGTTTTAAAAAGGAATACTGTGTATAATTTTCTTTGACTGTTTTTTTAAAGGAAGCTTGTTTAAAACAAAGTCTTTAAAATAAAAAAAAAAAAATATTTAGGGGGGGGAGAAAAGAAATTGCGATTTAGGAAAAAGAAGAGATTGGAGGAGTGATGCTCTTTACGTCACGCGATCCATTACATACTTACTTATCACCTGATGGTAAATAATCGTAGTCACTAAATAATCGTAGTCAAGTAAACGAGTATGACAACCTTTTGTCGAAAATTCATTATCACATGATCACTGGAAGAACAGCATTCTTCCCTGTCTGAACTACAGTCGAAAGAAAAACGATGAAAATTTGTTGTTAAGATTATTCAAAAGTATAGAACACGCCATGCAGAAGTTTATGGAAATGTGTAGTAAAATGTAATTTATAAAAGCTTTCTGAATTTTGTGTTCAACTGGAACATTAGTTTCATAAAGAATAACTTATACATGCTGGATTGCTTGTATTTTAAATTTCCAAACAAATTCTGATCATTTGATTTATTGAGAATGTTATGGTCAGTTTAGAAGCACGTCATCAACACATATTTTTATTTTTATTATTTCAGAATTAGCAGTTTGCCAGTCAGCAGTATTAAAGATATTTTCAGAAAGAATGCAATATTTCGGATAATTAATTTTCGACAAAAGATTGTCACACTCGTTTATTTGACTACGGTTATTTATTTATTGGTTTTTAAAAAGGAATACCGTGTATAATTTTCTTTGACTGTTTTTTTAAAGGAAGCTTGTTTAAAACAAAGTCTTTAAAATAAAAAATAAAAAAAAAATATTTGGGGGGGGGGAGGAAAGAAATTGCGATTTAGAAAAAAGAAGAGATTGGAGGAGTGATGCTCTTTACG